ATGGGGCCACGAAGCATGCGCTGGGGTATGCTGAAATAGACGCGGCGGTGCCATGCAGGCGCAGCTATTGGGGCCTTCGGTGGAGCCCCCGATGGGGCCACGAAGCGTGTGGGCGGTGTGCCGACATGTTTGCGGTGGTGCCATGCGAGCGCAGCCACTGCGGCCTTCGGTGGAGCTTCCTATGGGGCGGCGAAGGGTGTGAGGGGTGTGCTGGAATAGGGCGCGGTGGTGCCATGCGGGCGCAGCTATTGGGGCCTTCGGTGGAGCTCCTTGTGGGCCAAGAAGCGTGTGAGAGGTGAGCCGACATGTTTGCGGTGGTGCCATGCGAGCGCAGCCACTGAGGCTCTCGGTGGAGCTCCCCATGGGGTCACGAGGCGTGTGTGTGGTGTGCCGGAATGGGTGCAGTGGTGCCATACGAGCGCAGCCGCAGGGGCCTTCGGTGGGGCTCCCTATGGCGCTTCAAAGCGAGTAAGAAGTGTGCCGGAATGGGCGCGGTGGTGTCATGCGAAAGCAGCCATTGGGGCCCTCGGTGAGTTCACGAAGCGTGTGAGGGCTGTACCGACATGGGTGCGGTGGCGCCATGCGATCGCCGCCACTGGGGCTTTCGGTGAAGCTCCCTATGGTGGGGTCACGAAGCGTGTGAGGGGTATTCCGAAATAAGTGCGGCGGTGCCGTGCGAGCGCAGCCACTGGGATCCTCGGTGGAGCTCCCCATGGGGCCCCCCCAAGCGTTGTACTGGGTGCGGAGGACAAGGGCAGGGATGGGTGGATGGGGTTGGAGGGGGGGGCGGGTGGGAAGGAGTCACGGGGTGCAAAGCCTAGACAATATACAGGTTTCCTTGATTACCAAACCACAGCAACCAACCACAACCAGTATACACTGCGTTTCTTTGCCGAGGGCGCCAAACGCTGTGTAATATTTGCTTGGTGCTGCTTCAGGGAGGAAAAATGAAAAAGGAGAAGGGGGAGGAGGCGAATGGGCGAGGAGGAGAGCTCAGTCAATGCTTTGCTGGCGTTGGTTGGGGGGTGCTGGGGGGGCGAGCTAATAATATATATATATATATACAAGACTGCATTGGCGCTGCGCGCCATGCACCTTGGTCCTTAGGAATTCGCACGCTAGCGGAGTGCGAGCGTGCGTACATGCGCACACACATGCGTCTATGAATGCATAGTACATATGTACATATATACACACACGTTTGTATGGACATGCACATGTATATGCAAATGGTCAGTGTAACTATGTGTGCGCATACACGTGCGTATATCAGGCGGTAGTGGCCTGACCAGTTGCTCATATCATCGCACCACTAAAAGGCGCGAGGGTCTCAGGCAAACGTGGTCAGACTACCATGGGACAGTGCGTCGCCGAGATCAGTGTTGCGAGGACGTCCCGGGTAAAAATGGCCTGAACACCTCCGCTCAGGAGAGGGCATATCCGAAGTCAGCCGCGCGAGGAAGTTTCAAGCGAGGAGTGTTCTGAACACCTCTGCTCAGGGCACCCTTGAACTTAGAGTTGCGAGAAGTCGCGAGCGAAAGTGGCCGAACCACCGTGGTGCAGGGCACCTCCGAAGTGAGACTTGCGAGAGTGTCTCAGGCGACAGTGGCTGGAACACCTCAACTGAGAGTGTCTCGGGCCCCAGAGCTGCGATGATGTCTCAAGCGAAAGCGGCGGGACCGATGCGAAGCAAGGCGTTTCTGAGGCCGGAGTTGCGAGCATATCTCTGGCGAAGCGGATTAGACTACTTTCCGTTATCTCCTCATCCTCCTTCCCCTTTTCCTTTCCTTTCCTCCTCCTCCTCCCCCTTCTCCTCCTCCTCTTGTTCCTCCTCCTCTTCCTCTCCCCCCTCTCCGCTTTTTTTGTCCATTCTCCCCAACCGTGGCGGCGCGGCGCGGTGCCGTTCGGCCTCTCTGCGAGTCAAGCGGCAAAGGGTGAGAGACCCCCCCCCCCCCCCCGAATTCGGAACGGTTTTTCCCGAGCCGCCAAGGGGGCCCGAAGGTAGTGCAAGAGGCGGTGCAGGTTTCGGATTGGGCCAGCCCTCTCCGGTAAGGTAGGCAAGGGCGCCGCGTCCAGGTGCTCAATCCCCCGTATCCCCCTCCCCTCGTCTTCGTTCCCTCACCCATGTCCCCCTCCTCCTCGTCCTCGCCCCCCTTTTTCCCCTCATCGTCCTCCTCCCTCCCCCCTCCTTCTCCTCCCTTGATGCCCCCGCGTGGTTTTCGGGCCATGACTCGGGCCTCTGGGGGCCATTCGCGACGTTTCCGGCGCCCCCAAGACTCTTCCGGCGAGTCGCAGATACTGAAGGAAATCCCCAGGCCGGAAAACCCCCCAGAACAAACAATCCGAAAACCTTGATCCTCCATTCTCGGTTCTTCTCTCTCTCGGAGGAGGAGGGAGGGGGGGCGAAGGACGAGGGGAGAGACAATGAAGATTAGTACGGCCACGACGACGACGACGACGACGACGACGACGCTCTTGGGTCCTTCGGTGGTTTGAACGAAAAATGGCTTCGCTGCGCCATTTGATACGACAACGACGACGACGAAGAAGGCGACGACAAAGAGAAGGGGGAAGGAGAGGGGGAGACCGCTGCGTTGGGATCTCGTGGCGTGCCTCTTGGGGCCCTCTGGTTTGAAGCCTCTTGGGGGTGTTTTGGGGTTCTTGGGATCTTTTGGGGGCCTCTTGGGGGCCTCTTGGGGGTTCCTTGGGGCCTCTTGGGAGCCTCTTGGGGCCTCATGGGGCTCTCTCCGGGCTTGTTGGGGCCCTTTCGCGGCGGATAATTTAGTTTTTGAATTTTTGGGCGCCCTCTTGGGTCTCTCTTGGGGCCGTCGTGGTGCTCTCTGGGGCCGTCTTGGGCGCCTCTTGGGCGGTCTCGGAGCCCTCCTGGACCGCGTTGGGGCCTTTTTGGGGGCCTCTTGGGCAGTACTGGGGCGATCTAGGGAGCCTCTTGGGCCATAGTGGAGCGTCGGGAAGCGGGAAAAGCGAGAAGGCCAAAAACATCGAACAACACACAGGGAAATCAACAATTGTAGCCTCTCGGGGCTCTCTTGGGAGGCCTCTTGGGGGTCCTTGGGGGCGTTTTGGACGCGGCTTGGGCAGTCTTGGGCCCAGATTGGGCGTCTTGGCCCGATCTTTGGATGTCTCGGGGCCCTCTTTGGCTGTCGTGTTTTTTTTTTTGTTTTTTCTCGCGTCGCGCTCGCAGGACAGACACGGAACACTCTGCAGGAGCGCCCCAGGGTCTCGGGGAGGCCGAAATTCGTTTGGGGGGGGGCACCGTGTGCCGCTTTTCCGGGGTCCCCGGCCTTGTAAACATATATAAATAGGAATATGTTTGTGTATATATATATATACATATATGTATATGTATATATATATATATACATACACACGTATCCATACATCTGTGTGTGTATTGATGGCCTTCGGGCCCTTCGGGGGTGGACAGACCTCCTACTCTGACACGTCGATTAGTGAATTGTCCGTTTTTGGTTCTCGAGAGGGCACCGTGGCCGGTATTTTCCAGGCTTGCGCCCGCCAGGTCTGGGCCTCAGGTCACGTTTTACTAAAGGGAGGTCTGTCCATCCCCGAGCCCTTCCCGCCACCCTGCCCGGGCTGCGGGTCGAGGGCGCGAGGGTCATAGGGTTGTGTGTTTCATGGCCAGTCAAAAGGTAAAGCCACATTCACCGACCCCTTGAGGGGGGGCACGGCGTTTATCGTTTGGTGGGGAGCCACTGAACGGGGAGGTGCGGGAGGAGGAGGATCGGGTGGAGGAAAAGGGGCACGACGATGGTGATGACGATGAAGACGACATTGTTGATGATAGTGACGATTATGCTGATGATGATGCTGATGCTGATAATGATGATGATAACAATGATGATGATTATGATGATGATGATGATGATGATGATGATGATGATGATGATGTGATAATGAAGAGGAGGCGGATGACGATGATGGCGATATTGGTGCTGGCGATGACGACTATGATGATGACGATGATGATGATGATGCTGGTGATGATGATGCTGGAGATGCAGATGATGATAATTATGATGCTGATGATGATGCTGGTGCTCCTGATGATTGTGATGTTGCTGATAATGAAGATGACGTTGCTGGTGGTGATATTGATGACGACGACGATGATGCTGATGATCATGATGATGCTGGTGATCATGATGGTGATGATGATAGTGATGACCGTGATGATGCTGATGATGCTGCTGGTGATGATGACGACGATGGGTGATGATGATGAGGACGAGGGTGGTGATGATGGTGATGATAGTGATTTTGCTGATGCTGATGCTGATGCTGATGATGATGACGATGATGATGATGATGTTGATGATGATGATGATGATGATGATGATGATGATGATGATAATGATAATGATACTGATGATACTGCTGATACTGATGGTGATGACGTCGCCGACGACGACGACACCGAGGAGGAGGGCGAGAAGGATGAGTAGAAGTAGGAGGACGAGGAGGAGCATGAGGAGGAAGTTGATCTGATCTGCAGTCCTGAGTCTTGAGGAGGGAAGGGTGGAGACATGCGGAAGGATGATGAGAAGAATGCTGAGGTCGTTTCGAGGTCGCTTGGGGTCTCTTTCGGTGTTGATTCTGGGCTTCTCGAGCTCGTCAGGCGGGGCGCGTTGGATCCATTCGAGGTCTGTTGAGGGCCGCTTCGGGGCTTCTGGGGGGTTCTGGGAGCCTCGCAATCCCCCTTCGGAGTCCCTTGGATGTTGTAGTGATAACGCAAAGCCTGTGCGTTTTCAGATGTGTTAGGTTTCATTCGTGAAGGCAGGTCGCAGGGGCTTCGATATGGTACTGCGTCGGAACGACAGGCTGGCCGAGCACCAGGATGCACCCAGACGTTTGCCCCTCGCTTGAATGGCCAATTCGAAGCTGGTCGATCTAATCGCGCGTCGTCCACGCGATTTCCGTTCCACTAGATGGGGGATCTTTTGTGCCAGCGCTGTCTTTCTCAGATCAGCGACCTCAAGGCAGGCATCCTCGCGCTCGACAAGTCCGTGGCCGAGGCATGACATGTTGAAGTGACGGGAATTGTGGATCGGAAGCGGGACGCAGGTTGCAGGAGGCAGTGTTGTGGAACATAGTGTCACGTAGACGGAGCGAGGACTATGCGATGGCCCAGATCTGCTAACAGCGGGCACGCGTAGTCCCATGCAGTGCAAATGTGTGTCTCCATTTCCATCCTTCTCGTTGCGTCCGAAACAAGCCGCCGCATCTTTCTTCCCACGAAAGGCGAAGGGCGCATATTGGGGATGGGCCGCTGCGTTCTTCTCCTCATCCATCTTCTTTCCAATCGAAGACTCATACGGCGAGTCCCCGTCGAACTTCGCGTTTTGAAATACAGGCGGCCCACTAGGCCCCCCAAGTGCCTTGTGGCCATCTTCCGTCCAGGAAAGATCGTGAAGGCCATCGTGGACCGCCTTGGGCCGCCCTGGGCGAAATCTTGGGCCATCCTGTAGGCGGGAGGATTCTCTGGGAGGGATGGCGGCAGAGAGCGAATGGTCTGTGAGAAACTTGCGGGAAGGGCCCCAACGTGCTCTGAAGCCTGGCACACCGAGCTCCTTCGTGGACGGGCTGGAGGGGGTGGCGGATTTCAAGGCCTGGGCCTCCTTGCCGCCGACCCCCCTGGCGGAGCCATCTGTGGGGTATCGTGGGACCACTTTGGAAGCTTCCTTCCCGGTGGCATCCTGAGTTCTCACCTGTCTTTCGTTTCGTCGTTCGCTCCGGCTGAGAAATCCGAGCCCTCCCTTGTCAGATCAGCGATTCGGGCAACTCGATGGGCGGCGGGGGTAGGGTTCGGAATTCGTCGAGCGCGGGGCGAAATCCGAGCCCTATCCCCGCGAACCATCGATTCGGGCAACTCGATGGGCGGCGGGGGTAGGGTTCGGATGTCGCCACCTATCTTAGCGGTCGGAACACGGCATAACATAAACTGTTTCGCCACTGGGGACCCCCGCCCCGGGGCGAGTGTATACCCTTCCGGTGGCAGGCGGTGGTTGAAAATTCTTTACGCTTCGCGTATCCCCACCAGCCCATCTCACAGCAGCAACTCTCGCGAAGCATGCCGACAGTCGTGTTTTTCAGGCGTGTGTCCGCTGGGCCCCGCATATCTCCCCTGTTCCTCCTTCCTCCCGCCTCCTTGTACATCCTCCTTGTGGGGGGAGCGGGAGAAGGACGAGGCGAAGGAGGAGGGAGAGAAAGCGCTCCTCGTGGTTTGAGTCGTTTGGGGTTTCTCGTCCTGGTCTGAGTCGTTCGGGCCCTTCTTCCTGGTGTGAGTCGTTCGGGCTCTTCGTGGTGTGAGTCGTTCGGGCTCTTCGTCCTGGTGTGAGTCGTTCGGGCTTCTCGTGGTGTGAGTTGTTCGGGCCCGTCGTCCTGGTGTGAGTCGTTCGGGCCCCTCCTCCTGGTGTGACTCGTTCGGGCTCCTCGTGGTGTGAGTCGTTCGGGGCCCGCGTCGTGGTGTGAGTCCTTCGGGCTCCTCGTGGTGTGAGTTGTTCGGGCGCCTCGTCCTGGTGTGAGTCGTTCGGGCCCCTCCTTGTGGTGTGAGTCGTTCGGCCTCTTCGTGGTGTGAGTCGTTCGGGCCCCTCGTCCTGATGTGAGTCGTTCGGGCTCCTCGTGGGGCCTCTTGGGGGCCTCTTGGAGCCTCGTGTGGCCTCTTGGGGGCCTTTGGGGGCCTCTTGGGGGCCTCTGGGGGGCCTCTTGGAGGCCTCTTGGGAGCCTCCTGGGGGCCTCTTGGGGCTATTTTGGAGGCCTCTTGGGGCCTCGTGGGGCCTCTTGGGGGCCTCTTGGGGTCCTCTTGGGGGCCTCTTCGGGCCGCTTGGGGGCCTCTGGGGGGCCTCTTGGAGGCCTCTTGGGAGCCTCCTGGGGGCCTCTTGGGGCTATCTTGGGGCCTCTTGCGACCTCCGCAGAAGCGCAAAGGAGAGCTGCCCCCTGAGAAGGACAAAATGAGCCCAACATCTTAGTAAAATCAATGGTTGGAGTAGGAGGCAGAGCAGCAGTAGTACGATGAGTAGTAGCAGCAGTAGTTGTAGTAGACTTCGTAGTAGCAGTAGAAGTAGTAGTGGGAGTAGTAATAGTAGGAGTCGTCGTAGTAGTCGTAGTAGTCGTTGTAGTAAATGACTGAGGGCGGCCGTCGTCGAAACCAGCGATCGTTCCCGACCAGCGTTGTTGTCGTTGCCACTCTGGCTTCTAGTATTGGAGTGTGGCTGTGAGCTTCGCTCCGCCTACCCGTAACGCGCGCGCCTACTGTGTTTTTTGGCACGAGGTGGCTTGTGTGCGCAAATGCCGCACGTAGCCCAGCACCGCTACGATATCTCCTTTTTTGCATACGATGTGAGTCATATTCTTCTCCATTCGCCCCGCGTTCGTGTCAGCAGGTCGTCGTGGCGGTTAGCGTTCGGTGACATGCAGGCACGGCGGTCAGCGCGAGATGTCTCAGAGACGCGCCACTTTCGAGACTTTCTCGGCACGACCCATCGTCATTGCGACATCAGATCATGGATTCCCCTTTCACACCTATACACGCATGTATTCAATACAGAAGCACGCATAAATCAAAGGCGGTCCGACACACATCAAGAATGCACAGAAAGACACGCACAGAAGTTCAACGTTGTCCTCTGCCTCTTCCCAAGAGAGTAAGAGTGGTGCGCCAGTTTTCCTGCGGATGTTGAGTAGGCACATGTGGAGGTCTGGGGGTCGTCGTTCCAAGTGTCGTCTGCCGCGCTCGTGTGCAGGTGACGCGTGGAGCGTTACGCAACGCGTGGGCTGAAGCGGTTCGCTTTGCCTTCTGGAAAGACAGGACACAGTAGATTTAGGTAGAACGCTCTTCGTAGTCGTGCAGGAGTACAGCGCGCTGAGAGGTCTTGCAGGTATGCAAGAGCTCGAGGCTCTCAACATGACTGTCGGCGTATCCCGTCACAGTCCATGTAGTGGGTCGAGGCTTATCGTGCCTCCGGGTGTCCAGGGGCCTGGGGTCTAGTTCTCTGGCGTTGCAGGTGTTCCGATTGTCAGGATATAGTATTATACACGGTTGTCCTTGGTGCAGTTCCAGGTAACTTCCAAGGTTCCCACAGGGCGAGTCGATCGGGCTTCTCGCGGCGTGAGCAGTTCGGGCTACTGGGGCTAGTGGGAGTCGGTCGGGCCTTTCCGTGTGTGTGAGACGTTCGGGATCGTCCTGCAAGGAGTCGTGACCTCTGGTAGAATTGAAATTGGTCGTTCCGCTCTTCGTCGTCTTCCTCTTTTTCCTCCTCGGAGTTCTTGTCGTGCGGTCACGCAGGTTTTCACGCGCGTTGTTCGGGCCATTGCCGAAGGCTAAGGAGCGCCCAGGAGTGCCCCAGCGTTGTCGTCGCTGTTGCCACTTTGGCTTACAGCATTGCGGTTCGGCTGTGAGCTTAGCTCCGCCCATGAGCACAAGCCTCTTTCTCCAGGTTTCTTTGCTGTCGGCATGGAGAGGTGCTGGTGCGCCCTGATACTTTGGCTTGCATAAGGGGCCCCTTGGAGCGAGGAGGGCGAGGAGTCGGTGATCATGCCTCCTTTTCAGTGGCAAGTTCCGATCGTCGCCGTACTGCCGTCGCCCAGCATGCATGGCGGAGTGTTTGCCGCCAGAGCTAGTTCTGCACATCAACCGGAACGCCGCCAGAGCACTAGTGTTCACGAAGCAGGCTGTCGCGGTCAAACTCGCTCACATTACGAAGAAGCCGATGCAGGATGGCAGCGGTGACCTCAATTGCATGGGGAAGCTCGTCGCTCAGGTAGGCACGAGTTTGTATTTCCATGCGTGCAGCATGAACCCGTTCACCGACCATGACGCCCGTTGGCGCGAAGACTTCGTCGGCGACGTTGCCTCTGTGAAGCATCGCATGGCGGGGATGATAAGCACGCTGGAGTGTCGAACATGGGCATCCAGGGCAATGCGCGTAGCGCAGGTTTTTGAGACCCTGTCATTGCTCACCCTCACGTGAGCCCACTAAGTTGGAAGCAGCTTATCGGAGCGGATCGCTCTATGTCGGCACGGCAGCGCCGAGAAATGAGTATGCTATTTGCATCAGGCGCAGTGGGCCATGAGCAGTCCTTCCTCTTCGGCGGCATCGTACTTACCCGCAAGAGCTTGCACTGAAGGATTTGGTGTATTTCGCTGTGGCGAAGGCGCATCTCTCGTGCAACAATTCGGCAGGTTTGTTTGGTACTCCGCGTGGGTGCATTGGGTGAAGTGGTCAAGCTGAGTTCTAGGCGCTAGGTCTCACTGGAATGGATGACAGGGTCACCCAGTCCGACCGGATAATCATCTCGTTCGTATCTCTGCAACATCTGTGCGAAGCAGATTGGCAGTTTTTTCCTCGGCGGGTGCGTTTAGAATTCCAGGCGGTCCGCCGCGGAATTGCCGAAGGAAGAGCGTTGATGGTGCGTAGCAGTGATGTTGCTCGGGGACCCCGACGGCGGCGGCATGGAAACGTCGCAAGCGGCGACGACGACCACGACCACGGTAGCGACGACGACGATGACCGCTCGACGACGACGACGACGACGAAGACGACGACCACGACCACGACGACGACGCCGTCGCCGAAGACCACGACGACGACGACGACGATTCGTCGAGGACGTCGTGGAGACAACGACGACGACGACTACAACGTGAACGTGAATGGCGACGCTGACCACGCCGACGCCATTTCGACGACAGGGGGAGCACTCCTGGTAGCGCTTTCATTCTGGAGAGCGAGCGGAACGCTCGCGGCCATCCTTTTTGTGTCTCGATGTGGCAGGGTTGCTGAGGCAGGTGAGATCGGCCATGACCCGTGCGGGCTCGCCGCTGTCTCTCAGGATGATGTTTCACTCCTGGCTCCCTTGGCCTCGCCTTCGTGTCAGCATCGTCGTTGCGTTGACCGTCCGAGGACATGCAAGCGCGGTTGTCACCGCGGAAGGTTCCGGGGACGCGTCACCGACGAGCCTTTTTATGCATCTTCTCGTCCTCTTGCCCAATGCATGCGCGCACATGCATGGAAAA